CTTCCAAACCCCTCGGAAACACAAAACCCCCAGCGCCTTCCCTCCCTCAGAAGTAACCCTCAGAGCCTTGTGGTGCCTCCCCGAACACCGCAATTTGGATGGTGACATCTGGTCCCAGCCCTCCCGGCGGGGTGTTTTTAAAGGGACAGTGCGGCTTTCTGACTTTCGGAGCCTCCACCCTGCATTTGTGTGGGAGGACCTCGGCCTCCTCTTCCCGGGCATCCATGCACAGGATGCAATGCTAGCAGCTTCCCACAGACAGGGGAGCTACTGTGTCTCATTCCTGGAATGCCAGCTTCCAAAGCCTTGGCCTCTTCCAGAAGGTATTTCAGACACGGTGGGACGCCCGCTGCCCACTTTCCTCAGCTCCTTCACAAGCAGCTGGGGAACCGGATGCCGGAGACGAGTCCGACATCACCGGAGAGGGCCCTGGATCTTCAGGCGGCGCCAAGAGGCACGCCCGGTGGTCTGCAGCTTCCCTGTACGCCTTCCTTCCTGCCCACGGGCCCAGGATTTGAGAACCAGGCCATCCAGCCTCCGTGGATGTGACGGGAGAGGCAGCCGATGGGACAGGAGAGTTGAGGGCTGGGTGATGGAGACAGACTCTAACTTACGGGCATTGGGGAGTGCCACCTGCCCCTCAGGGCCTGGCTCCCCAAGGCAACTAGCTGGTGGGCAGTGCGTGCTGTGATTCAGGGCACAGACTTGCATGGAACCCCCAGCCCTGGCCCAGGGACCTGGGAAGTCACCTTTCCTCCTGAGCACCGCCTTCTCATCAATGCAGTCCGAGTGTTTACAGTGACAGCACCAGCGAGCGGAGATGTGAGTGTGGGATGGGATTGTCACGGGAAGAGCTTACATACAGCCGGCTGCCGGCACGGGAGAAGCACTGGATGAGAACTGGCTACTAACATGATTCTACCTGGTCAGCCCCTGCTTCACAGGACAAGCACGGGATGTTCATTTTAGGGGCGCAGATCAATGCTGAAGCGGGTGCAGGAGGCGGGGCCTGCCTGCAGAATGGCCCCGAGGCGCCGGAGGGACCCCCCAACGAGAATCCCACAGAGGACAAGCTGCGGCACCAGGAGGGGAGTTGGGGGTGCAAATAAGAATTGGGGAAACAGTCAGAAAACGCCACCTTCCGAAAAGAAAACTGGCAACAGTCAAATGAACCACCTGCTGCCTTCTTTCACCTTTGGTTTTTGTTTAGCACATTCAGAAGTGTGGGCATCTAGTGTGCAGTACGCACAGTGCCTGCAAAGTGTGAGGGAGACATAACCGCAGACCAGCCACAGACAGCAGAATAATCACAAGGCAAGAAATAAGAAAACACAGAAATCTAAAGCAACTTGACGGTGAATGCTACCAGTAGGAATAACTAACAAAAAAAGAAGTCAATAATGGCTTAAAAAATGTACATGGTGAAAAATTAAATCAGGAAAATTTGACTTAGTGGATATAACAGTTCTATAAGAAAATTCATATTCCAATGCTCGTGATATTAAAAAAATGGTTATAAATTTTATGTAGAGAAAGAAATTATTCCAATAAAAATAATTTTAGTAAAATAAAAATGTACATGGGGAAAATTGGAAATAGTTTAGTCTTGCAATAGAGAAAATTGACTGCAGTCTTAAGTTGGCATCATAGTGTTCTCAGCAAGTATTTTCTTCAACAGAAATTCGTCAGTGCTGTTAAAATTGCAATTATAATGTTTCTACTGTGAAGCCCAGCATGAAGCATCTTTGGGGGGAAAGTCGAGCAGGTGGAATGGGTGGAGACACCATCCTGTACCCACGGGACTCCGCCAGGCACCCCAGCACCCGGGGCCGCCGAGCCCCCTCCAAACCTCTCCTCTGGGGAGGCCTCTGAGGGCTGATGTAGGAGCCAGTGCGAGATAAGCTTTAGTCTTAGAAACAGGGACTGGCTCTGTGCACTACAAGAACACGTTCTGTATGAGAATTTGACCAAAAGCGTGGGGGTGGGAGGATGAGAGAGGGAGACGGAAGAGGAGGAAAAGAGAAGGAGGAGGGAAAGAAGAGGAGGGGGAGAAGGGGTAAGGATGGAGGGGGAGAAGAGGGAGGGTTGGAAGAAGAGAGGGACAAAGAGAGAGGGAGGGCAAGAGATGGAGATAGACAGAGGCAGAGGAGGGACGGACACACACACACACACACACACACCGTGTCTTCGGAGTGCTGTCTGGCCAGGGGCAGGAGTGCCCCTCGAACAGTCGTTCCGATTCTGCTGCAGCACAGGCGGCTTTCCAAAGCCACCAGCTCCTCGGTCCGATTCCACCCTCACAAGCAGGACGGCTCCCTGGTGTCAGGGTTACCTGTCACAGGAGCCTTTCCCAAGTAACCAGCCTTGTTTTGGGAGCCCCACCGCCAGATGAGGTCCCATGTCAGCCCGTGGCTGCCTGCGGGGCTTCCATGCTTTAGGAGGGTGGAGGGGCCTGGACAGACAGGGCCGGTGCCTGTGGATGTGAGCTGCTGCCTGCAGAGGTCCATCCCGAATCGAACAAAACTGCTCTGATCCCAAAGCAGTCGCTGTGCCTGGCTGTCCGAGTGAGCCAAAGGAATGGCGTTTTCGAGACTTGTTTCCAAGCAGGGACTCCAGGGATCCGGCCAGACCACTCTGGCCGTCTTTGCCGTCTGTTTGGTGGCCATGCCAGTTACCGGAAAGTTCTTTCAGAAGAATACTGTGTAAGGCGTTTCAAGACACTTGTCAACACAGACACACAGCCTCCTCCTCGCCGGAAGCTGAAGGTGGGAGTGTCAGATCCTCGGCAAACCTCTAACAGTTACCCAGAGGGCTGGCCTCGCTATTAGAGGCTCTTACGGGCTTCTGTAAGTAGAGGGATACTGCAAATAATTAGAATTAATGACCCTAATACTAAAGAGTCTCTAAGTCTCATTTTTTCATGTTTTTAGTAGGATAGCACAAAATAAATGTGCTCAGATTTCACTGAAACGTAATGTTATCTTCCACAGTCGAGAAGCACCCGGGAGGACTCGCTATGAAGGATCAGACCCCCCACCCAGCGCTGCCACTCATTCCTAGCACATTGCGGGTCAGTTTCTAGGAGAATCCATGTCTGTGGAAGGTGAAGAGAGAACCGGGTGGGGAAAGAGGACTATTTCTCTTAGAGAAGTACCACCATTCTCTTGAGCTAACCTGACCAGAACCCACAGAATGCGAGTCCCTGTCCCCACATGCGGATGAGCGCAGGAGGGACGGCACTCAGAAGGTGAGGACCAGCCTGGGTGAGCCCATCTGCCTCCTCCCTCCTCCCTTTCATCGCTGGCGGGTGACTGTGCTATTAGGCCTTACACATGGTCACCGTGGGGTTATGAGAGTGGAGTATCCATTACAAACGTGTACAATGGTTTTAGTACACCTACTCGCTTGCCCCACCATCACTGCAATCTAACTTGAGGTCATTTTCATCACTCCACACAGTCCCGGCACGTCTGTGTGCATCAACCCTCATTCCTCCATCTCCCCACTCCCTCCCCCCAGGCCATCACCAGCCTGCTTTCTCTGTCTAAAGATCTGCCCTGTCTGGACGTTTCACGTAAATGGAATCATATAAACACAACACAGTCTTCTGATCGGGCCTCTTTCACTTCGCATAACGTCGTAAGGTTCACCCGTGTTGTAGGTGCGTGCTCATGTGACGTGGCGCAGACGACGCTTCCTGCAGGCTAGTCCTGGTCCCCGGAGGGCACCGGGCCTGAGCTCCCTCCCTCTGACATGCCAACCTGGGCTGAGGCCGGGAAACCTGGGCTCGAGGCTCTGGCTCCGCCACTTTCTCCCATTTAGCTGCTCCCCCACAAACGTGCTTGGAGCTGATCAAGTTCAATGATAGCCTTTATAAATGATTAATGTGCTATGAATGCAATGCCTTAAAGCATGAATGATTTGAAATCCCGGATGCAATGACTGAGAGAGCTGTGTCTATCCCAGTAGCAGGAGGGATTTTCCTTCCCTCCCTCCCTGCCTGGACACAGGAAGGCTGCCTCCCACCTGACGCTCCCCTGCACTCCCCCATCAGCTCCCTCACTGCTCTCCTCCTGGAGGCAGAGACGGAGGGTGGGGCGGGAGCTCAGAACAGGGCACAGTGGTGCCTCGGTGCCTGGGATGGCAGGCCAGAGCAGACGCCTCTGCTGAGGCCCAGCCCTGGAGCCCATTTCCCTGTGGCGATGGGGATTTCTCAGCAGAGTGGGGCCGGGCACGGACTCCCGGGCATGGGGGCGAGGGAGGGAGGGGGCAGGGAGAGGACGTTTGCCTGTGGTTTCCCATGCGCCACCTGACATTCTGAGAGCCCTCACTGCCCTCTGCGTCCTCTGCCACTCCTGTCCAGTTATCACCACGCCCTCCAAGCTACAGGTTCACCAATGCACACTCCAAGAAAAAGCCCCCATTTAATAGAAAAAAAGGCCTTACACGTTTGTTGTGCGAGGGGTTGGGATTTGTTTTAATAGCTTTCGAGTGGATTGCGGTCAACTTTTCATCATAGGATTGCATCATCTAAGGAAGACTAAAGCACAGATCTCCATGCACAGATCGCAAACCCGTCTCTGTGTCATCTCTTTACGTAGGAAAGATGCTGGGCCCCGGCCGGGGAAAGGAGCCAGCAGGCTCAGGTTTAGTCTCAGCGTCCAGGTTTCTATCACGGGGCCGGAGTTAGGCTACGGGGACGACAAAGGAGAACGGAGCGCAGGCACCGCCCGCAGACCTTCAGGACCGTGTGGGTAAAAATAATTCCAGTGGCGATGCTGGGTGAGCAGCACCCCCAGCCGCTGCAGGGCAGGGGCACGGGCACCCGTCCTGTCTTACCTCCGGCCTCCTTCCATCCCACCTTCTACTCAGCTCCTCCTGTGGACAGTGCGTGAAGGCTTCGGGGACTCTGCCGCAGGGCCCTGTCCCCGCCAGCCCCGGCCTCCGGCAGGCGGCGGCGCTGAGCACAGCGGAAGGGCGGCGAGGGCGGCTGCAGTTACCTATTTGCCTCTCCAGGTCGGCGGCCTCGTCGGGCGTGGCTCGCGGGAGGACGCCGGGGTCGCTGAAGCTGGTGCGGAGCAGGGTCCCCATCACGAAGAAGAACAGGACGCCACCGGCCGCGGGCACGGCAGGGGTGATTCTCACGGCCAGGTACGGGCAGCTGCCGGCGGGAGGGGGGGGGGAGAGGGAGAAAGGAAAGGTAACGTCAGTCATCAGCAGTGTGCGGTCTGGGTTTTCCCAGAAGCTAAAGAAAGGCTTCTTCAGAGAAGCGGAATTGATTTCCATTAAGAATTCCTCTGTGCGGAGCTTTCACATGCGGGAGGCTGCCTTCTCTCCCGCAGACGGTGCGACCCTCCCTTCCAGCCACAGCCCCCCCCCCCCCCCCCCGGCCCCCACGGCCCCTGGCAGAGAGGCTGGCGGGAGCATGGAACCCCCTGCTGTCCGATCACCCCGGGGGCACAGACGCGCCTGAGGATCTGTGAGCTTCCTCCCATCCCTACAGATACCAGGCTGAGCTGGCCTTTCCTCGTGGGTCACACAGTGTGGGACACAGAATGCTGAGAAATGCAGAATCATCCTCAAAAAAAAAATTTTTTTTTAAATCAATATTTTGGAGCTTATCTATGAAAAGAGGTTGATGAGCCATGGACATGAACTTGCAGCCCGTTTCCAGAGAGAATGAAGGGTCCGGTGGCTGGGCTAGTCTAACCGCCTGCTCTTCAGCACGGCCAGCTCCTTCTAGAAGCCCCTTCCCTGTCCCCCAGCCCACGAGCGGACATGCAGCCGGGCAGTGGGGGGCGGGAAAGGGGTCCTTGGGACAGATCCAGTCCAGGCCAGCAGGCTCGGGGCCAGGAGCCAGGACACTGTGCGCACCCCGCCCCGGCCACTGTCGCTGCCCCTGACGCCTGAAGCTGAGGGAAGAATGGGGTCTGCACCGTGGCCATCCATTGTCACCACGCTCAGCGCCATCAGAGCACCGAGGAGCACAGCCCGGAGTCACGGAGCAGTCACAGCTAGAATGAAGAGCGCCCTCCAGAGGCTCCACCTCCTCAGTGACCATCTTCCAGGTGCTGAAGGCGAAACGGGGGCTGGAGAAGGATGAGGAGGCCACTGGGCTGGTCCCCAACACCCCACTCCCGTGCAGTGCTTACAGGAAGGGGGGGTAAGGTGCCTGATGCGATGGCCAGGCCTCAAGGACCACAGGCCATGACCCCCTTCACCAGGCCAGACACTAGCGAGTCAGTGGCTGGCCTGTAGGAGGACGGCGACGTGGACTGAGGATGGCCACTGCACGGAAGGCCCACAGCCTCGCCTGAGGAAACCCAGAGGGTTTCCCAGCTACGCTCAGAGGGTGGACGGTGACCCCACACACAACCCAGCAGGCTTCCTGCCAGGCAGGTGGCCTCCGAAAGTCACGTGACTCAGAGACAGAAATATGTGACATTTCTAACATCTCTTCCTCCCCCACACCGACCACCTGCAGAAACCGAGCAAAACAAACAGCATCATGTCCCCTCATCAGGACTGCTCTTCACAGGATTCACGGGGAACCATAAAAACCTGTCATTCCTGTCCAACGTGGCCGCCCAAACTCCCAGGTACCTGGAGCCTTTTTAACACCCTCAGGGATGCTCATAGGAAAGCAAGCGGACAGACGGACAGATCGCTAGACCTCCGGAGGCCAGGCTGGTAGGGGAGCTCAGCCAGCCACCCTCGGCCACGGCAGGGCGTGACACCAAAGCCACAGAGAGAAGTCTCCTGGCCCGAGTCCAGGCCCCTCGAAACACTCCTTCGGGTTCCGAGGGACCGTGCTGGGAGTCCGACCCCGAGGGGCATCTGCGAGGAAGAGCCCTCCCTCCCGGGCTCTGGGTTTGATACGTGATGAGGCTGCAGCTGCCACCGCGATAAACACCGCGCGGAGTCCTCTTTCCGCCTGAGGAGCTGTGACCTACAGACATGTGGTCTGCGCCGTGGCCTTCCATCCCACCGCCGGAAAAGGGCCACCAGCGCTGTCCCCCTGCAGCTCAGCGGGAAGGCGGCTGAGGGCGAGTGCGGGAAGCTGAGAGCGTGCGTTTCACGGCGGAAAAGGACGGCGAGGGTGGCACCGGACCAGACAAGTGCTCACAGGGCCGCAGCCTTCGGAACGGCCCGCCTCCCACGCATCCCTGCGAGCTGGTTTCCGTGTGAGACTGGACGTCTGTATCACTGTCAGCTCCCTGCGCATCGGAGGGGAAGAAGGGCTTCCAGGCAGCGAGTGGAAAGTGAAGCATTGCCAAGGAGGGGGGGCTGTTTTCCCAGTTCCAATGGCAATTTTCTCAAATCACACACACACACACACACACACACACACACTGATTTCAGAGAGGGAGAGGATAGAAACATCAATGACGAGAGACAATCATTGATTGGCTGCCTCCTGCACATCAGAGAGGGAGAGAGATAGAAACATCAATGACGAGAGACAATCATTGATTGGCTGTCTCCTGCACATCCCACACCGGGGATCAAGCTCACAACCTGGGCCTGTGCCCTGACTGGGAATAGAACTGTGACCTCCTGGTTCATAGGTCAACGCTCAACCACCGAGCCATGCCTGCTGGGCATCTTCTCAAATCTTTAGGAAAAAACAATGATGTGAGCTTCGATCTTCACACGTGACGGTGGAACTGTTTGCTGGGTGCCGTGTTACCAGACACCATGCAATGCGTGTGTTTGTCACTGACTGTGGCAGAATTATTCTGCCGTCAGATGCTGACGTCCCAGGGTCAGTCCTGCCAGGAGCCCTGCTCTCACGGCCAAGGCTGCCCGCCTCACACGCTGTCATCTGACGTAAAACCAGTTCCTTGGACCAGACCCTGGGACTAAATTAACTTCTTATACATTTCAGATAGGAAATCTGGGTTTCATTATCGGGTGGCTAGTCTCTGTCTCTGTTTTTTTCCACAGGACATTCTTTGGGGAAAGATTAGCTTTCCTTAAAACACAAAACCAAAACAACACTAACAAGATGTAGCAGAAACATCCAAACCAAGAGGCCTTGGGAATGAAAAGTGGAGAATCCTTTCCCGTATCAAAACAATTTGAGTCATCTGTTAACATTCTGCCTGCAAGTAGATGCGCAGACTAAAAAAAAAATAAAAATAAAAAAACCCGTTAACTGTGGCTCAGGACCCATCCCTGCAGCATGGCCTGGGCCTGGCGCTGGTGTTCTGTGGAAGCTTAAGCGTACGGATACTGTTCTTTACACATCGCGGCAAGGTCGGCAATGAGCGCCGGCGGGAAGCGAAAGTGGCCTCGCTTCGTTGATGCTGCATCCTCCCGGGTTTCTGTGCTCCAGAAATCACAGCAAACCCGTTATTTTAAATTTCAGGGTCTTCACTGCCCTGCACTTCCACAATAAACAGTGAAGGCAAATGATCATAAAGTGAAATAATCTGAGCCAATGACTCACGCGTCTGAAACAACGACAGCGCGGCTTTGTGAAGAATGGAGGTGGTAAGGGTTATAAAAACGGTCCTCCTTTGCGTATGAGTCACTGTAAGAATAAATGCACTTTTCATTTATAAGCAGGGACATAAACACCATTAACACTATGGTTTGCTCCTCAATCACCCACACAGCAATGCTCCATTACAGGGCAGTGCCGAGTGCATTGCGGGGAGACAAATCGAGGGGAAGAAGGTGTGGAAAAAGCATCCTCTCGCAATGCCAGAATGGGGAACAACAAGATGACGATTTCATAGAGCGACTCAGAGCGCCCTTCCTCCAGACACTCCATGGCAGCACCCGGTGTTTGCCAAGCTCCTTCTTAGTGATGGCACATAATCACGAACCTGCCAATAGGACACGAAAGGAGGAAATGAAATAAATAGGGTCAGGGGCCAAAGCGGGGAGGGGAGGGATGTAACAAGAGAAACCTGGAAGGAATAACTCAGACCCATTGAGCAGGGTGCTGAGAGTGGAACTCCCTCATACATTTGCAGACTAAAGAGACTTACCACATCATCAAAAGCACCGAGGGCTCACTGTGACAACCATCTCCGTCCGCTTCCTCATCGGACAGCTGTCGCTTCCAGGCTCAGGAAGGGAAGAGGGCGGAGGGAGGGCCGGGTCCTGGGAACCTGGGGCTTCCCTGCCGGCCTCCCCCGCGGGGGCCCACACACCACAGATGTCTCTGGACACAGCCCAGCCTCACCTGAAGCCGGCGAGCTCCCATGTGACAGTCAGTGTCATGATTGTTAACTCGGGGGTCCCCAGACGGCCCAGACAGACCCAGTTATAGTCAAAGAACCTGGGAAACTAGTTTACAAATGCAGGCGTCAAATCCAAGTGTGTAAACAGCCCCATACCCCCATCGACCATTAGGAATGTGCAAGGGCTTACGAGGGAACACTAGCGTTTCAGAGTTTTTGCCAAGCGATTTTGAGTTTGATTCAGGAAGCCAAAGGTTTCTGACGAGTGTGTAAGCAGCGGGAGGAAAGACTCTCAGGCACAGACTGCATTTGGAAACTATATGCCGAGTAAAAGGGAATTCTCGTCTTCCTCCAGTGAAGGGAATGGCACCCCAGGGCACAGAGCAGACCCTGAGCATCTTTCCGCCTGTGCCGTGCCCTGACTAGCGGGGGGCACACAGGGGTCCCTCTGGAGAGAAGGGAAACGTACGAATGATTGGTTTGGGCTCTGCATCTCCTTAACGGAGGCCGGAGCTACCTTCCCGTGGGCTGAGTGGCTGTGTTCAAGGCGACGGGAACACTTCATAGGAACAATGACCAGGAAGACCTGACTTCTTCAGATGTAAAAAGAGAAAGCAGATGTTTATCCACAAGACCTTAAAATTAACCGAGGGAGCGGAAAAATGGCCACCTCCTTACAAACTGCAAATAGACAGAAGTTCCTAAAGTGAGCGCAAATAAGCCCTCAGGCGTTTCCTGAAGAGCCTCTGAAATCTCTCTAGTTACCCGCTGTGTTTCTTTAATCCTGTGCGAGGATGTCTCTTAGCCCTTTTGCATTTCCTAAGAAAATGTTCCACCTCCTATATACCATGGTGGGAGAGAAACACTTCCCAGCGAGCCTTTGCTTTTTAATGAGTTTACAGAATGCTCTTTCTGGAGCTAGGCTGTGCCAGTTTGCGCTCCTGAGGGTTCGTTGTTGTGAGCGGCA